CGGCTGGAGAAAGGCCAAGACAAGCAGGCCAGAGCACTGCTGCAGCGGCAGATGTCGATGAAGGTTTTTAATGGAGTTGAATTAATTCACGCAGGGTGTAATTTGTCCCGTGGATGTGGGAGGCGTACTAAGCCTGAACTTTTTCAGGGTCACAAGAGTCATTATATTGATAGACATCTGCTGAGGCAGCCTGCAAATTTGCAAAAACTGACAGATCTGTTCTGATGTTGAGATAATGATAAATAGCATTCCTCCAGCGCGAGGCTTGTTGTAAAGCCAGAGCTGCACCCTCACATATGTTTGCCCAATACTGAGTAAATAGAGAGCGTTAAAGTAAATAACTGCCGATTTACTCTCCTAGTTAATTTTCCAAAATTAAATTGGCCAATTTATTGTTGAGTGAATTCTGTGCACCATACCGTGGAAAGGTTTTGGCTCTACAAGTAAGGATGATTTCAAATGCATGTAAATAAAAGAGCTTTAATCTACCAGTTGTTAAACAGCAGAAGTTCTTCTAAGCAGTTTCTGAAAGTGTTTAGCTTTTAGCTCTCTGTCTAACATCAGCCACCACACTTCTGTTACAGGAGTCCTTGTTCTTGTAGTTGAAGATAGTGTATTACTCTGGTTGTATATCAGTGACCTCCTGTAGACAATTAAATGAAGAATCTGAACATCTGAGGTGCCAAAAGCCTTTGCATAGTACTTTATCTTTATATTAAAGCTAAAAATCCAATCCACATTTGTTTTTTCTATTCAGAAACATTTGAGAAAGGTTGTCTGTCTCTATTTGTTAGCCCTGCAACAGACTGGCAACCTGTCCAGGGTGTACCCCGCCTCTCGCCTTATGGCAGCTGCTGTGTTCCCCTCATGTTTGCTCACCACTCTTTTTTTTTTTTTTGTGGTGTACATATTGTGGAGCCTTCCCGTCATCCTTTGTCATGTCATCCACGCAGCCTTCTGTTTCCCTTGCTCTGATTTCTCTGAGTTTCCCAAGCGTGTTTGGGATGTTTGGATTCTTTGTTATCTTTTGGATTTGGAACTTTGTAATTTTCTGGACCAAGGAGCATTAAAGCTTGTTTTAAAGTTTATTCTTGCCCTAAGAGTCAAGCATTTGGGCCCATAAAGATTTGTCAGCCTTATAGTGTTTCATGGCACTGCACAGCAGTCAAGTGTCTGTAGCATTTATGAGGCTTGATGTAACAGTACCAATCTAAAGAGAATTTGTATAGCTCTATTTGACACTGAAATAAAGTTCTCATTCTTAATAGTTGGAAGTACACTGTTGTAGAATGTGATTAAAATGGACCAGTTGTAGTAATCACTGGAGAAAGACAACATTTGTTTATTAAGAACATTTCTTGTTCATTTGTTGTGTGATTGTTAGACTTCTCTTTCTAATAATTGCAGGATTTGTATCTCACAACATACATGCCTTGAAATGGCTACTGCTGTTACCTGACACTGTATGCATAAAACTGAATTAACTGAATAGAACTGAATTACAATCAAATGACCATTTCAGGATTCTGACTAAAATCTATTTAAGCAGGAAATTATTACTAAAGAAGAACCAAAGGTTAGTCTTGAAATGGTTCGTGGTTCGTGTCATCTCCTTCCCTCTTCCCACACCAGTATAGCAAGTGGTCTGGATTAGCTTTGTAATGTACTGCCATCTGCTGGTAGTGAACGTGCATGTGCACAACTAACAAAATGAAGCATTTTGATTTGTTTACAATCCATCTTTTGAAATACATTTTTCCTGACTGAAGCTAGGATGGAGTATTGTAAACCAAGAAACAGACCTGTTTAATATAATCATAATATCTGTTATTATGTATCGTGATGGGTAAAAGCCTGCAGGATATTGCTATTGCTTTTTGAACTCTTAGTTTTACAATATCCACAACTAAATCACTTAAAAGGTTTCCTTGATCGCAACACAAACAAGAAACACTGCAAAGAGACAACTTACTTTGACCTTTTCACTAGTTTTATTAAAAATAAACTTGCAGTTAAAATGTGTTGCTGAATGTAAGTCGCAAGAGCCTTCACAATTGTGAACGTAACATCACAGGGTCATTTCTTGCATTGATATGACTTATTTTGTTAAGCTTTGAACATTTTTGTTTATACAGAATATTGACAGTCTTTCTAAACAAGTATAAGATTATAAGCATGGTTGTAGACTTAACTGATTTCCAGACGTTAACAGCTGTGAGGCTATGAGGCCACAAAACACCACAATACTGCCCTGCTACAAAACCTGTTTCAGTTTAAAGCTGCAACTACAATTACAGAAATGTGTTTTCATTGACGTGTCATAGTATGTAAAAAATGATCATTCCAGTTTTTCTTAAACAGCATATACTTTTCTGTTAAAAATTTAAAGTTGACCAAAAAAATCCCAATGCTCTCACTTTATGATGCAGATTTCTACAAAGATTTCGTGACTGTTCTTTCTTTTTTCTTTTTTTTCTCTTGATATGTGACTCTTCCCCCTAAAGGTATACTTGAATTTCTATGACAGCAGCCATTCACACAGTAAATCTGAAGTAGTTACACAACACCGCCATCCACTGCCCGTGATGGGCGCATACACTGGTGGTGGCCACCGACTTGAAAAGAATAATAATGAAGGTTGTCTATATGATATATTTTTAACCTTTGTTCATGCAAAGTTTGACCTTTCCTTGTTACACCTGATGTATTTGATGTATTCAAATGGAGCTATTTGAAACATTCTGGGGCATTCAGCTGTGCAGAACTACCTGGTTTAAAGGTGCGCCGGCAGTAATTTTGGTATGAAAGTTTAAATGGCTGCTTTAAAACTAACTGACTTGATAAATACCTGCAGTAACTGGAGTGAATGAAAAGCTAGAACGATGATGGTTGCATATTATTTCATCTCAGCGATGTAATTTAAGTTCAGAGGACCTTTTACCTTTTTTGTGTTACATTAAGAAAAAGATACCGAATGAACTCAGTTGGTGAATATCATAAAAAAGAAATTTAACATCCACCTGTATCCAGGAGCACAGTTAGATTACGTTTCACATGTGGGACTTTGAGCTATCTGTCTCTGAGATTTCATCTGTCACCCCAATACAAAGGAGGTGAACATCATTTTCCTTTTAGGTACTCAAAAATTGAGAAATTACATTTGAAGATTTTCTTGTAACCTTTCCCTGACAGAGAAATGGTTCCACTGAAATATGACCACATCGAGGTCTGGGGATTATCCCTGTCTCCAAAACGCTTTTTTTTAAGGAGATAACGAGTCCATACCCAAGTATGACCCTTTACTATCAGCAAGGCTGGACATAGCTGTCCCTCTTAGAAACGCAGTTTTGCTTTTTGATTCTTTTTCGTACGGGATTACGTGTTGTAAGCATGTTTTGAGGGGACTGAGTTCAGGTGAAATATCAGGTGTTGATGGTAACATGAATTTTTTGTGCCTGATTTCTCACTTACCTTCATCTCAAAAAGTGTTACCAAAACTTTTGTACAACAAAGAAATCCTTTGTACCTAATTGTTTGGCTCAAACCTGTTTTGAATAAAAACAGCTTTTCCTTTGCGTCAAACTCCAAATCTAATCTTCTCACATCACCTGCTCTCTCAGGCAACAAGATGAAGCCATCCCAAGTGTGTGTTTGCCTGTGTGTTGCACGTCATCCAAGTGCTTTGGCTGTCAAGGTTAAGAACCAAGTTTCAAAGAACACCAAAGCTTTTTGATTTAGAGAGGAAACTGGCATTTATTAAGGCCAAGACCTCTCATTCGCTGTAGTAAAGGTGTATTTCATCTGCTGAAGTCAAAGGGCCCCTGTGCTCCTTTGAAAAATGCTCAGCATAGCACATGCTATTAAGATCAATGTGTTGACATTAAAGGCGCCACAAGCTGAATTTTAACATCAAGAAATCATTACAGCATCAGTGTTCAGACCTGACTGTAGTTGCAAGTGGATCCCCAGTCAAAGAGTGGCAACATTTTTTCATCATATTATAGATTTTTCACCAATCTATAAAAGTTCCTCTTGAAAAACACTCATGAAGGAGACAAACGCCATTAATAATAAATTACATTGCAACGATGCTGCTACTGGCAAAGTCTACTATTTTTTCCAAATTATAAATGTATCTTAGGGTATGTAAAATTCCATCACTGATATTTGTATAAATGATTGATTTGAATTCCAAACAAAAAAAGACATAAATCAAGATTGCAGATTGCATTATTATACATAAGAATGGATGTCTAAAGAACAAGGTCATTCTATATTTCCATACTAAGAAATATAGAATAAGCTTTTTGGTCTTATGGAAGACCAAAAATCAACAGCATGTTTGTGCTTTTTTTAAAAAAAAAAAAAAAGATTAAGCATAGCTAACATTTTAGGCACTATTTGTGTTTCATTTCTAATTTGTTGGGATTTTTCTAAGTGCATATCAATCCATATTTAGGATCCAGCAGCCCAATTGTAATTTTATGCACAATAAAGTACTGAGTCCTAAACTAAACTGTGTTCACTGAGATTAAAGTTGATAAAGAATGAGGACAGATGAGAAATTAAACAGCTCCCACAGTATGGGTCCACAGAGACATTTTTCTATGCTGATGAGAGTGATCTTTTCCAAGATGACAAAACTTCTATCCATGGGGCGCAGTGGGACTGAATTAATGATGAAGGTGAATAATATGCTGTGGCCTTTGCAGTAACCAATTTTCAACCAGTTGAACAGTGTTGCTTCTACTCTGTGTTTCCATGCATGTCAAATTAGAGTTGCAGAGACTTGGAGAGTTTGTGCTAGACCGACCTAAGCTACTGGTGATACGTAGGGAGACATAAAGTGTCTCCTGGTTGATGAGTAATTGAGGAGTAATTTGTTGTAGGTTGTGATCCCGTGAATGCTAATTAGGTATTATCAAGGATAAAATATGAGACAACCTAGCTAAGTCGTTACATAAATAGAAAAGGCAGATTGTCACATTGAGCTGGTTTTGTATCATGAATCCTTTAATTTCTGAAACAAAATAGATTTATTTTGCAGTGAATAAATAGCATACATAAATACAGTTTCTCAGAGATACTCTATTTCTTTGATGCTAAGGATTTTATTTTCAGGAGCAGGATAAAGACAGGCCTCTCTGTTGGACATACAATCAAAGGGTCTGATTGGATAAAAAGGAACAGGAAAAAAAAAGACTGCATCTACAAGAAGACAGAAAATAAACACAATCACATAATTACACAAAATATGTGGTCTGGTCCCTTAAAATGGTGCTGCGGTCTCTGGGGTGTCAGTAAAATGTACTTCGTTTTAAGATGTACGGCCGCCGAGTCTTAGTGATGTGCCCCACTTGCCTCTTCAATATGTAGGGTGACTTTCGTTTCAGTGGAGCGTCGCTGTTCTCCTCTGAATACTCTAGAGAATCTTGGAGTAGCTGTGAGGAGTGAAGGGAGACACAGCAGAGGATGAGTGTCACACAACATGAGGGAGTGTGAGGGGGGCGGACGGCAGGCAAACATGTTTTGGTACTGACTGCTAATCTGCAGGTGTTGTGTTAACATTTAAAAAAAAGAGAAATGCCACAGTGCGAGGAGCCAAGAGTGGAGAGAAAAACGATGACAGCGAGTGAGGAAGAGATGAGGAGGCGAAGTGGGGGTGAGGGGAGATTTAATGAAGTGTGTTTGCTTTAGGCGAGAATACACATGCTCCTGTGTGTTCTGGCGATGTGAGTGAGTAAGTGTGTATGTACACAAGTCTGTGTATTTGTTTTGACTGGGCTTTTGGTTGACAGTTACTTCTCAACAAGTAGCTTAGGTAGGAGATTAGGACTTTTGAGAATTTCCTTAGCTATCCATAATTTATGCAAGGCGCTAGTGGAACCTCTGAAAGTTAGATTTTAGCAGTAAATATCTGCTTGTGCTTATGCAATTTGTTGTTATTTGAAAAGTAGCCCACACAGCAAAAGAAAGTAAGTTAAAGATGATTGTCTGACCCTCTCCTCCCGGCTCTGCAGTACTCGGCAGATGTGTTGCAAGTTGTACATCTCATCCAGCAGCTGGAGGCTCCCCTCCCTCAGACCCCCATCCTCCTCCTCGCCACTCCACGCCTCCTGGCGCAGGGCGCTCAGCATCTTACAGAGGTTGGCCAGAGACACGCGCCAATAGGGGGCACTCTGCTTATTCTGTTTCATCTGCACAGAGGGCACAAGATACCAGGATGAGACAGTTAAATGGACTGAGTGGTTGGGTTTTTAACACTCAGAGTGCATCACTTAATCAGATTCCTGCTTTGAGCAATATTTTTGTTGGTGTTTTAGTGTATTTTGTGAACTTGGGTGAAGGGAAAACTGTACTGACCACTCAAGAGGCTGATGTTTCAGGTGGTTTAGAAGCTTTTTGGTTTAATGGGTATTGTTTTCTCTCGTGAAACATTTATATCGACAGAAATGATCTGACTGAAAAACGACATTTTCAGCTATTACTCAATCCGCGTCCACAACACTGTAAGTACAAACTGTGGCCATAATTTTAAAAATTTTATAGAGACGTTAAAGCAGTTACAGCAAAAGTTCAATCTAAATTCCAGCATCGGAACAACTAACGATACTGAACACAGAGGTCAGTGACTCACTATGCAGAGTAAGAAGGTAATTTAGTCAATAGAGAATGAAAAACCACAATGGAGCATTAACCGCGGCATCTAATCAGATGAAAGGAAGGGAGGTTATATCAGTCAATTTTATTGTCAAATATATAGTGTGTAGATAAAGAGCCACAAATAGGTCTATCTTCCACCATACTGCACTTTCCAGCCTCTTGAGCAGTCTGTCACTCATGCAGCAAGTTATTATTACAATCATCACCCCTGAGCAACCTCTGAGCATCGGCAGCCATGAATCAAATGGCTGATTTGTCACCGTCATGTCTCCGTGTGAGCATCGCGGTTTTTCATCAGCAAGGGTAAGGGTAAAAGATGTGTCGTAACTATACTGCCAGGTCCATCTGAATCCTATTAGGATCGGCCATCCGTCTGTGCGTGCCTTTGGTTCCACATTCACTGATTTCATACCTGATCTTTGCATAGCCTCAGGCAGAAATCAGATAAATGTGATAAAAAGCTCAAAGTTACAACTGAATTAGAATGCCCAATCTCAGCTCTTATTTTCTCCTCGTTTCAAAGGACTGCAGCAAATGGAAAGGTGATTATTTGTTATTTTTCTGAGCACATTTGAATTGGATAAACTTTTAAAAAGAGCAAATTGACTTAAAAAAAACAAAGTAAATGCTCAGGCAGCCTAAGTGGCACAAAAAGCCTCTTGTGGTAAATTATTTATCTCCCACTCAGCATGAGCACAACCGCAAGCCGAGGTTGCCACTGAAGCGTGGATGTAGATTTCATGAAAGAACACCTGGAAAGCCTTTATCGGCGAGGTCAGAGACTGACCCGGCAGGATGAAGCTTTTCTTTCCAGTCTCTGATATCACAGACCAGATACCTTGGAAGTGAAGAGACTGCTGAGTAGTTCCTCTTCTAGCGCTCGCTGCTCCTGGTCAACATCTGTCAGTTACAGAAAAACAGCTTTACAACATTCAGATTTCACACAAATAAAAGCACAAAACAAAAGATTTTTGCCCTCATAAACATAAATCAATATAATTAAAACAAATATACTTGGTCTAATCTAAATGTATACTGAGTCGGTTTCATTTGAACAGATTCCATTAAATTTAATGTTTTACATTCTACTTGTGTAACAACATAACAAAAAAAATTGACATGTAATCCAACTACTTAAAGAGGTCAGTATTTTGGGCATAAATATTTTTGGAGTGTAGTTTAGTTCAGTCCTCAATGAAATGTTATTTAAATTAAGAATTAAGTATAGTTTCTCATCATTTACATTTGAATAGTTAAGTGGCGAAGAAACCCAGCCCTCGGTATGGTGGTCATCTTCATCACTATTGATAACAGAGTGCCTGTGCACCCTGACAGTGACAAAAACAATGCATAATATCAATAAGAATTCCATGTGCATCTCTCTCTCTCTCCCTATATGTGTGTGTGTGTGTGTGTGTGTGTGTTATGCGCGCGCATAAAAGTTGTCCTTTATTTGCTTATTGATCCAAAAGTAACTATCATCTAGTAACAATCCATTCTCATCAATTTTGAGTATTGGAAATAGTTTTGTGTAAACTGCATTTAATATAAAATAAATGAAACTAATTAAGTTTCATTTCCCTAACATAAGATCAAACAAAGAATGTGAATAATAGTGTAAGTTACATTAATAGTTACATTAATAGTTTTTTCTGCTGTGCCGTGTTTGGAAGACGTGAAGTGAAACTGTCATAAAAGCCCATATTCACATGTGACTATGGCCACTTTTAAGCTTTCAACAGGTGACACTATTGATCAGCCTGAGTCCCAGTGCACCCTGACAGTTAAACAAAGCACAAATTATGCATGGGTTTGAAAGAATGGAAGAGGCAATTGATCTTTGAGGGGGAAAAGGGTTTTATAGTAGCCCAAAAGAGCTGTAATCCTTGATCAAAATTAAGATTTTCACTTATACAGTTATTTTTTTTTAATAAACCGAGGTTTAAAAGTTAGCTGTGTCATGAAGTCACACGCCATTCTCTGATTTTTCCCTAAAGAATAAATCATTTCAACTGCAGGTTATTTCAGTATTTAATCTAAAGGACCAAATTCAAAACCATCCTGTTTAACCAACTTTGCCATTCAAGGTTTTTCAGAAATATTTGCAGTATTTTTTTCCTTCTTTTATGCACATGCAACATTTCAGTATGATGCACCTGTTTTGTGAATAAATCCATAAAGTTCTACATAGAAAACCTGTTGAAAGAACACCAGTGCTTACCTGTACAAAGTGCACCACATGTTAAACAGAGGAGAAGCATACACGCCAACTGTGTCTGCATCTTGATCAGAACAAAAAAATCTGAAAAGAAATACCCCAAAAGAACAAAAAAAGGATCCCACACTGAAGAATTCACCTGAGGAGGAATCTAGTCCATAAGGTTAGGGGCCAGACACAGACAAAGAGAGGCTGGAGACAAAATTTAGTGAAGCTGCTGTTTTGTTTTTTTCTTGTTCTTCTTCTTCAGATCTATACACACTTAAGCAGTTTTCTGCTGCTAGGATGTGAAGCACAGTGGGCTCCATTCCCTGGGTATATAAGAGCCAAAGTGATGTCACAGCATCTGCCCCCCCCCCTACCCCACCCACACAGACACACATCTCCATCCCCACCTTCCCACCCATTACCACATCCCACTCATTCTCCCTTCATGGCATCTCTCCACTCACGTCACTGTGTCATCAGATGTTTCATCCGACGACACTCCGCCATCATGACGTGAAAGGTTTTTGCGTCAAGGTTTGGAAGATGTGGTTATTTCCCCTCATGAATGCACACAGTCCGAGGTTAGTTTTGCCTCATGTTCCACTGATGGGTACCAGCAGTGATGAGGCAGGATGAACGAAACAGGCTCACTTTTTGCTTCACAGTTTGAACAGTCTCTTCATTTTTTTTTCTAATTCACCAGGTTGTTGTCTTGGTTAACAAACAAAACCACTAAATGCTAAAGGCTCAAATATTGGTGACGATTATAATTTAATTAACGTGAAGGCACAACTCTGTCCATGTTTCTCTAAAGCAGGTTTTACTTTGTAATAGTTTTTTTTCTACTATAAATTCCCGCTGACATAAATGTAATCCATTAACCAACAAATAGCTTGAATTTTATTACTGCATTGCATGATCATCACAATCAGTCCACAACCTGCAGACGTTGGGATTTCTATTTTTTGACTTTAATAATAAAAAGCTTTTTCACTGGAGCTTAACCTGGCTTTCACAACTTGTTAAGAGGACCTTGGAAACAATAACTAAGAAAATAATCTTACCACCAGGTCTGTTTGGTAGCTTTTTGAAAGCTTTCCATCAAATATCTTCCAACTTTATTTCTCTTTTTTAGGGTTATATTTTTGCATAACTCCATAGAAAACACTTTTAAATCAGCATACTTACTCTATGAACTTAAGAGCAAATATAAACTCATGCACTAATTTCTGATTCATTTTGTTAATGTAGTTTAAATAGAGCTGTTTTCTGGTTTTGTTGCACAAAATTGTAAAGGGGAGCCATTTGTTGTGACCGTTTGAGCCTGAGGAAAAAACATGAGATGAGGTAAGTGAAGAAGAAGCCTTCTGGGAGCCTAACTCTATTGCAGCTAACCAATGGATGGTCCATGGTCACCTAATCCAGCCCTTACTATAGGCTACATCAAAAGGGAAGTCTTAAGCATAATTTTAAAAGTGAAGAACCTGTCTGTCTCCCAAACTGGGAACCGATTAAGGTCAAATTAGTTCAATTTAATTTTATTTATATAGCATCAAATCACAACAGTTGCCTCAATGTGGTTTATAGACCCTCCGATAATATAGAGAAAAACTTCTCAATCAGATGTCACACTCTGGTGACAGTGGGAAGGAAAAACTCCCGTTTAACAGGAATAAACCTCTGGTAGAACCAGGCTCAGGGAGGGGCGGCCATCTGCCACAACCGGCTGTAAGTGAGGGGAGGAAGACAGGATGAAGACATGCTGAGAGAGCCAGAGATTAATAATAAATAACGATTAAATTCAAGGAGGCAGAAGAGGGACCTGATAGCTGAAAGTTCCACCTCAAATTCTACTTTAAAAGATTTGTATGTGAGGAGAAGAATTTGAACTTATATTCTTTATTTAACAGGGAGCCAGTGAAGAGAGGCCGATGTAGAAAAATAGGATTTCTCTTTCTAGTCCCTGTCAGAATTCTCACTGCAGCCTTCTGATGAAACATTTAACTGCAAATGTGTCTGCAGAAGCAGACACTGACAACCATTAATGGGTTTAACGTGTTTATTGAACAGATAGTAAAGGGTAGGTGAGTGACTTAGAATACTAGAACCTTTATGGGAGTCTCTACTGAAGGAGACAGAGTGCATGCAGGTAAGTCTCTGTAAGTTATTAGAGGTGAGAGAAAATTCTTACTTGTAATTTGCTTGAACAGGGATTTAAGAGGGACTGCTGGCATACAGACACAATACCTTAGGACAGGGGTCTGCAACCTTTTACACCCAAAGAGCCATTTGGAC